CTTAACTTGTGTAGTATAAAACATGCCCTTTATTCCCTTAATGTCCAACTTGCAGTGTCCACTCTGCAGCAGCCATTGGGAATAATATTTTTATTGATTCTAATCAAATGCAACAGAGAAAATGTGTGAATCCTGAGTGTGTGAAGCTCTTAAAGAGCACCTCCGTTGCACAATGACACTACTGGTTCATGTTTAGGTGCAAAGACGTATCCAGGATGAGCTGGACAGGACGGTGGGTGACAGCCGCTCTCCTAAACTCACCGACAGAGGCAGCCTGCCCTATCTGGAGGCCACCATTAGGGAAGTATTACGGATTCGGCCCGTGGCACCTCTACTCATCCCCCACGTGGCTCTCTGTGACACCAGGTACAGCGATGCTCACTGAGTTCACCCTTCACGAACAACACACCCATCTAATAAAGCCATGTTGACACAGCAGAGGTGACTGCTGTGCGTCAATCTGTGAAACGTGACCAGGCTGTGTGTTAGCATCTGATCTGGAATCTTCTGTTTCTGAATGAAGTCTTAAAAACACATTTACCTGATGCACAAACACCATTGTCAATCCCATGAGTGATCTGTGAGCTCTTGTCTCTGCAGCATTGGAAGTTTCACAGTGAGGAGGGGAACTCGAGTCATCATCAACCTGTGGGCTCTGCACCATGATGAGAAGGAGTGGAAGAACCCAGAGTGGTTTGACCCCGGTGAGAGCAAACATCTGTCCACAGTTTAATGTCCAGTTATGGAAACTGATTTTATTCTCTGAGGCAAAGGTTTGGTTTTTTCCCTCAGTCGAGGATGATTAATGGAGATAGAAAGGCATCCACTGTCTCTGGCTGCTATCATTGTCATACTTAAGTAAATACACCATAACAGTGACATCAGTGCTTTGAATTGTATGTTAAAGACCCGACAAACACCCTGTTTTTGATTGTTTTTGGGACAGAAGAAGTCACCTGGATGAGTGACGAAACGTTTCTCCCACTAAACAAACGTCCAGATGAACAGAATCAACCGTTGGGGATTTACTCACCTGGATTATTGAGCATCAACGATAGTTTTTGGACTTTCAAATTCTCCAAGGAATCTGAAAGTCCAAGGAGAAAGGACTCTAATAGCAGCAAGTCAGGAAAACCAGGAAAACCTCACCTTAGGGGATAGCTGGAGTCTTGTTCCTGTTTGATTCACTGCCACTGTTTTATACATGAAATCCTGCATATGTATACAGGATGGATCTGACAGTTGTGTTAGTTTGGCTTCTGTGACCATCACAGCTGTGAACTTAAACCTGTTGTTATTGCTCTGCAGGCCGGTTCTTGAACAGTGACGGCACAGGACCGACGATCCCATCGCCCAGCTACCTGCCCTTTGGTGCTGGGCTGAGAGTGTGTCTGGGTGAGGCCTTGGCCAAGATGGAGCTCTTCCTCTTCCTGTCCTGGATCCTGCAGCGCTTCACTCTGTCCGTCCCACCAGGCCACGGTCTGCCCAGTCTGGAGGGAAAGTTCGGAGTGGTCCTGCAGCCAGCCAAGTACAAGGTGAACGCCACAATCAGACCAGACTGGGCAAGACACAAGTGCCAGGCAGAATAGTCCTGTGGCTGTGAATACACCATCGAGAAGGAAAGCGAGCTCGCAGCTCTGGACGCTTTTATGTGACATGAAGTCTTATTTTTCTGAAATGTAACAAGGATGTACATCCTCTTCACATTTCAGTCAAAATGTGTGAAAAACTGTGTTTAGGCCGTGAATGTATATAGCATAACAATTAGAGAGCAAACACATGCAGCTCGCAGGCTGAGAGAACA